GTGATCCTCGCCCATCTTGTGCGCTGGATGGAAGAAGAAGATCGGTTTTTGGGATGGAAAAAATGATTGATCACCATTCACCACTATTCTGACAATCCTTCATTCTTCTTGCCTCTTTTTTTCTCCCAACTGCGTCTCGATCATCGTTTTTTCCCCTCGTTGTGCGCTCTTCTCTTGAAAACAACCACACAAATCGAAAAATCTCAACATTCCACCCAGCGATCTCTCTGTCGTGCCTTTGATATTCCCAATTTTTCACATTCATCAGAAAGATGATGAAGACAAAGTGTTAATCCTGTTTCACCATTACTATGGAAAATAACACACGCGAGTGAGAATAAAACCTGAAATTCTCTCTCTATTTCACCTGGGCATTTTTATTGGATCACACAAAGCGCGGAAAAAGTCAATTTGACTTTGGAGAATTTCAAATTTCACACTCACGTGCAAAATTTCACCTGAAATATGCTGCGCCTGGGCCGAAATGAAAGTGACGCACTCACACGGTAATGATTCTTGCACTTTAGGGGGTCATTAATCTTCAAAGATTGCAAAGGGTTGATTAATAGCAAATTTTGAAGGAATGCGCCGTGCAGTCGTGCACGATCACGAGGAGCTTTCCAGCATTCCAATTGCCGAAGATCGATCATTATTCTCTGCCACCAGCCTTGGAAGACTCTTCGATGCTATCGATCGCCTCCTTTGGCACCGACCTTATCGCCAGTCTGGCCATTTTTTTTACACTGCAATTGCCCCACCTTCCCCTACACACCCCATCATATTCAGTGTGATTCCGAATTAATGATAAAACTCAATTTTCCTGTCGGCTATTTTCACTCACAATATTTTTTAATGCATCCATTCAGATCATCCAGACTCTGTAGAAAATTTCCAGTAATTGCAAATATTGTTCCTGCATAAATTGAGTTTGGCTATTAATTGAAAAGGCATTTTTTCCTCTCTCGCATCGCATTGCAAATGCGCATGGAAATCAATTACAGGGGAAAATTTGACCTCCAGCAACCCTTTCTGGTGCGTGTATTTGGACAGTTGGAGAGTGATTTATTGGTCTGGAGAGGGAATTTTTCCACTGACGCCAGCATTTTCCGCAGACGGCAGGATTTCCCTCGATGGACCGCCGCGCAAATGAACGCAATCGCAGGGGATCAATAAAGCATCGAGGGCGAAATTAATCGGTGTTTGATTATTGGCCAAACCGAATTGAGTGTGAGTTTCCAAAATTGGCTGTCTTTGCTCAAAATCAAGCTCAACATTGATTGAATTTTAATAGGTTCGAGTTGAGCTTGGAAACGCATTTGTAATAATACTTAATAGAACCGCACAAAGAGCTTTACACGGCGCCAAAGTGAACAAAGTCTGTTCTAAGAAAAGTAGCAATGCTTGGGAATTCATCTTCGAATATGATCCGCACGCATTTAAGATGAAATACCTTGAGGATTCTGGCTTTCTTGCGCGCCGATAAGGGAAAAAGGTGTCAAGAGGAGCTTTGTTATAAATATAAATGCTCTCTTGTAAATGCACTGTTTGTTCTCTGGCATTCCAATGCAAGAGAAAAATGTCGTCAATGAGAAGCTTCGAGGGTGGCACTCGCAAATAATGGAAGTATTGAAGGAATCTTCCAGCAAGAATGCTTTTTTTTGTCTCAAGATTGCATTTTCCTCGAAAGGAATTTCATTATTGTTATATGAAAAATCTCGGATGAAGGAGAGATTTTCTATGAAATGCACTATTTTCGCTATGACAATTTGGTCTATTATGTTATCTCGTGCAGTGATATAACATTCCTCAGCTGCTCTTTATTTCTAAACAGTGACGAAGATGCATCATAAGTGGAATGAAGAGAAAATTTCTGCAGAGAGAAGAATTTTGTGCTTTTGACAAAGTTATATGGATTCTTGAGAATTCCTCTCAAAGCACACTTAAAAATAGAAAGATAAATGTTTTATTTTATATTGTAATTGAATATGATCAAATGCAGTCAAAATCTTCACTTTCAGATCTTATTTTTTATTTTTCTGTGTATTATTAGAGAAAATGTTGTTTTCTTTCACTCAATTAAGGAATAAAAGTGTTCCTTAGTATAATAGTAATCCAAACACTCAGAAATTGTCTCAACTATACTCCTAATTAACTTAAACAATTTAGCACAATTATTGGTAACGAAGAAAAGCATTGTGGCATTTATCAGAATTGCAAACCAATTGAAACAAATCCCTCAACATTTGCCAAATTCTTCTACCAGAAAAATGTCCGTGAGATGGGAAAATCAACCGTGGAGAAGCGTAAAAAATCGCATCATGGCTTCGGATGTCTGGGATGATGATGAACACGAACGATAAAGGTTTTTCAGCTTGTGTGTGTGCACGAGAAAGAGCATCAATAGGAGAACATCCGAAAAATAGAGGTTGATCGAGAAATCCAATTGAGAAGCATCGCGCGAGGGCCTGAAAATAAATTAAAGGAACAAAGAGTTGTGCAAGACTTCTGTTCCACTCCTTTTTTTTACCATCGCGCGCGCTTTTTTCGCCTTTTCTTCATGTCTTGTCAGCTCTATTCCAAAACGGCAAGTTGTTTGTGAATTCCGATAGAATTGAATTTCTCCACACAGTGAATTCTGTGCGAGATTCTGGCAAAAACACATCCGAAATCATCGCGATTGAGCAGTTGTGCAGTTGAGAAGATGAATATTCCAATGTCTCTCTCTCTCTCTGGGCTTTATTACATAATATGGACTTTCTGGCATGGCTAAAGAAAACATTCTCACAATCATCAACCATCCATAAAAACGGATATTTATTTATTTAATGCACTCATCTTGGCTCTCGATGGTGTCGTTGTGAGGTGGGTTGGGAAGATTTGTGTGTTGAAAAAAGTGAAATTGCATTTTGATGGCATAATTTGGACAATTAGCAACTCGAAGAACACGCCATAAAAACGAGCCACCAAATAATTATCGCGCAGGGTGCACTGGAATTAAAATGCCCCGACGAAGACATCCGTGATGTGACTCTCGGTCAGGAGCGGGATCAACCCTGGTCAGAGGCGAAGAGCGTGCACGAAGGGAGGCCGATAATGGTGTGAAATTATTCAGAGTCGAGAAGAAACAGGGGCGAAGACAAGGTGCACCGATGAGTTGAAATCCCTGTTTTGACATGCAAGGAAAGTCCCTCAATCTCAGTCACAAACACTTGACTTTCCTCCGGAAAAAATACCTCTCTGAACACTCCCAAGAGAGCGCCTGAAATCCGTGAGGGATCACAAAAATCCTGGACCAGCAAAAAGGGTTAAATCGATTTCTGAATACTGAGTGTGCGATTAAATTTCAATTAATCGTGCCAATCTGTCCAACAGCGCTTCTTAATGAATTATGGAAGGATGCTGATAAACTCCTGAAATCTCGAGAGTTTCGCTGCGCCAAATTAAAAATGTATTATCGTGTTCGATTTTGCGATTTTAAGACTGAGCTCGAAACTCACTTACAAAATTCCTAGCAAATACTTTATAAATGCTCTCGAAACTCGCCTTCGAGGCATTCGAAATCTATATCATAATTTTTTGCTACCTATTATTTGAGGTCTTCGTATTGCTTTCCAGTAGAAATATAATCCAGCGCGAGTATTTATTAAAAAAAACACAAAACGGGTTTGAAGACATTTATTGAATCCTTTGCAGGAGTCTTCCCTTAAGACTTTTTCTTGTTTGCCTTTTGAAATGTAATTCTTTTCCTTTCTTTCCTTTTGTACTGTGTGTTGAATTGATATCAATTTCGCGACCTTATCAACTTTTTTGTCACTCGCCCGTGGCAAAGTGTGCGTGTGTGCAGAGGAGCGAGTGAAAGCTCATGCGAAAGCTCCTGTGGGGGGAAAGAGACGGTCGAGCGTGCATAGAGAAAATCCCATTTGAATTTTCGGCAGCATCGGTGGGAGAGACGACCCTTCCGCGGCCAGACAGAGACGATTGACGGTCGGGGATGGCCGCGGAAAAGCCGCGTCCGTCGCGGTGGCGAGAGTGTGGGTCGCGTGAGTGAAGTGAGGCGGTGACAGGGAGCCGCGTTCCGGCGTGCGGATCAGCGAAAGTAGCCAAATCTTTCCCCGAAATGGAGGAGGCGGGGAGAGGGAAAAGTGTCGTGCAGCGCTCGAGTTGGGGGAAGCCGACAGTGCTGTCCCACTCGTTCTTGGGGTCTCGAGTGGGCCCGAGTCGTTTCGCTCGCTCTCACGTTATCAACCGAGGACTTTTCCACGGCTGAGCGAGAGAGTGGCGCAGAGGATCTCGCTCCCACTCATGTCGCCGCCACGAGAGTCACGCTGAAGGGGATTTTAGCAGTGGCGTAGCGCTGAAGGTGTCTGGGCGTGAAGGCAAAAGCATCGACTTTTGCCGAACGGCATTTTGCTACTCAAATTGGATTTTCCTGCACATCGGAACTTTCGACTCATTCATATTCTGACGACAGCTGATAAGATGTCTCCACGGGGCTTTTATATGAGTTTAACATCTTTGGAGGGTCATATCTGGTTAATGCGAATTAAAAATAAAGTAATTAATTTATTTAAGCCAAATAAAAGGTGTTCTAATTGTCTACGCATATCCCAAGCACAATTCTGTACGTTGAGCAATGCTTCGGTGGAAAATCGGTGGTGAAGTTGCCGGCAGCCGCACAGCGAAAAACTGAGTGATCTTGACAGTATTATTCAAAGCGGTGAGGAGATTTGCTCCGAAGAAACAGCAGAGCTACGCCGCTGAGCGTCGGGCGTGCGTGAGTGTTGGTGGCTGCATAGGCGCCGTCTCGCTCGCTCCCGTGGCCGCCACACGGGCAACATAGATCGCCGTGGGGCCGCCAAGAGTCGTGTGAGTGCAGCGGCGGCGCATGTGTCTGTGCGACGGCTCACACACACTCCGCCACGGCCCATTCGAGCACCCCGAAATAGAGACGCGGAAAGTGTCGCTGCTGAGCTCCGTCGCCGTTTCGCGGCTCCACAGTTTGTGAAGAACATTATATCCGTTCGGCAGCCGGTCTCTGGTTGCGCACGCCGCTAAATTAAATTTATGATTTGTTTTCATTGTTGTTTGTATCATTGATTATTCTTATTGCTATTTCTATTTACCCGAAGCACATCACGGAAGAAAAAGACAGAAGGAAGCAAAAGTTGAACTTTGGCGCCAAGGAGTGAAAATTAGCGCAAAAAACGGACACTAGGAGGCATTGTTTCCTCTTCAGCAAATTTTTAGACGAGTGTGAATATGATATTTTTCCAATAAGTGACAAAGTGTGATCGAGTTTTCGGAGAAGAATACTTATTGAAACTCCATTTAGAAGTCTCGCCGCACGGCAAGTGGATTTTTTCGGTGAATTTGCAGAAAAAAAAGACACTTTCGGTGAATGGATTTTCCAATGTGATCGCGGTTCTTATATCATTTACTGGTGATTTGGATTTTTTCGTTTTGGACAGTGGTTGAGCAAAACGGATAGACTTTCAGGACATTTTCGAAATCAGTGACTGAAAATTGTGACTCACATTTGAGTTTCTCGAAAAGATTTCTGAAGAGACACATTTTGGTGAGGTGAAGTTTCTGATAGAGGCCAAAAGGAAAAACTACTCATCAGTGCCTGTGTTTGCTGTATAATCGATACTTTTCACCAGAAATTGCACTGTAAGTTTCGAAGAAATCATACATTTTTAGCACCGTCGGAAATTCTTTAAATACACAATGGATGACGATAAAGTGTTCATTTCATTAGTAATTCAGATGGAATTTAAAGGATATTTCGGAATGTTTGCCCCGTCTGTGACCTTTTCGTGTTACAGCCCGTCTCACTATTGATTTTTCCATCGTGCTCACCAAATTGCATTCGGTGGAAAAGCTATTTCCATGAATCGACCATTTCGGTCTCTCGGGAAATTCTCAATTTCCGAATTCCGTGTATCGCTTGCAATTGGGAAAAGGCCGCGAGCACATATTTGTTCTCAGTGTTCTCACCACATTTTCCTCCTCCTGCGGCCAGACAATTCGAGACCAGTTTTCATGATTTCTTGATGGTAGAAGGAGATGACGAAGAACAGAAGAAATCCTCCACATATTCTCGTCGTGCTGACAAAACACTTGACTCGTGATTTGTGTGTCTCTCTTTCCAGACTCAAAAAATTGTGTCTCGCGAGAGAGAAGATGAACGAAGAAAAAATCAAGCGCGATTATTATAATGCTGTCTCGCCCACGAATAGAGCCCACAATAATAAAAATGGCCTTTCTGTCTGAGACGGAGAAAAAAGGGGCACAAGAATTCATCTTGTCTTGCTCACGAATTTTTCTTTTAGACAAATCCTCCCGACGACATTCTAAGCGTTGTGCGCTTCCGGAAAGCACGTGCTCAAATTAATTATGTGCAAATTTGCTGAGTGTGTTGTGAGGTATTTTTAGGGGAAAACACTCCTCATTAAACTTCCCGATGAAACTTGTCTTGAGTTCTCACTGAAAACTCTCTATGATTTATTTCGTCAGACATTTCGATGCTATAGCAACCAATTTGCATCGTCTTCACTTAAGTTAAAGTGCACACGAAAGCCTCGAGGACACTATTTTAGCCGAGCACCCCTTGTAAATGTCGAAGCTTAAGGATTTCAGCACACAAAACTAACAAGTTTTGCCACAAATTTCCCAGAATGCTCAATTTCCATTAAATTCACCGAAACACGTCAGAAAGACTCTGAATTAATGCAGCATGATTTTTAGCCGATTTTTTGCCATGAAATGTTCCTCAAAGGGTTGACGAATATCGCCAATTGCAGCCCTTGACCACTTCGCTCTTCCCAAACAGTCACCATGGCGAGAGTGGAGAACAATCGGTGGAAATTTAATAAACCCCCACGCCAAACAGAGCTTTCTCCCCATTTTTCCCGCGAAGCTACAAAGGACGACCCTTATCGAATTGTGCTGTAGCGACGCTGCAAAAAAGCTGATACATTGTGCACCACCCCCTCAGCCGCCCCGTTGATAAATCATCCGTGCAGTGGTGGTCACGAATGCCGTGACTGTGGCATTTGACGCTGCGCACACTCCCTGCTTCCTGTCGTGAGTGTGCCGTCTGGCTGGGATGGGGCGCGCGCGCCCCTCCTCAAGGGCCCCCCAAAAGTGCCACACGCACACACATGCGACGCTTGTTTGGGGGAACTTCGGATGCACCGCCCCGATGCCGAAAAAAGCGCCCCAAATCGCGGTGGCGAGAGAAAGACGGAAAAATGCTGGCAGCAATACACATGCAGGCATTGTTTGGAAAACTCCACCAATTTTTGCCAGTCTGTGTGAAGCATGGAAAAAAGGGTGCGATGCATTCGCGATACTGCTGCACTCTTCATTTTCACCCTTTTCCGCCCTTTTTAGGGGGGCTTTTTCCCCCCACTGTCCGCCATGCAGAGCCATGAATTTTATATATGAAAAACTGTTATCCTGTCCAAAGTTTGGCGATATTGTTAATATCTCAAAAGATGTCTCTCCGTATCACTGATTTATTTTAGTGAAAATGTGTGTCCATGCATTTTTAAACCCTTCCGTGATATGTTTGTTTACACACTGATTTTTATTCACTGTCTTCCGGAAAATTTGCCACAATGTGATATAAAGAGTTAACTTTACAATATTCATCTTCCTTCTGCGAAGGTGCACACACCTCTGGCCTTATGCTACATTTTAGCAAGACACTCGCGAAAAAGTTAGCTCGTAATCCATCTCCAATAGAGGAAGAGAGAGAGAGAGAGAGAGAGAGAGAGATTTAGGAGTTTGACTGCGAGGAGCGCATGTGGGTGGACTAATTAGCATAAAGGTGTTCTTTTTATGAATATTCGCCCCTGACACGCCACACACAGGAATTCCAATAGATAATTGGTTTCTCTTCCAAAAAACTGGAAGAACGGCCGCCATGAGCACCGAGCAAAGGAGGTTCGCTAATCCCCAAAAGCCGAAGCACTCACTTGGCCCTCTCCTTTCGTCCGACGTTTTTCCCGCGCCTGATTTCTTATGGTTTGAAAAACCGTGTCGGAATATTAATGATCCCAGCGTCGATGATGTATTGAGTCATATTCTGTGGGCTCTCGCCTTCTTCTCCACGCCTCACCTCACCGTTCTGTTAGTCAGCAACAAATCCCAGACACTCATTTTGTGCCATTCCATTAAAATTATACTCGCCCCGCTGGAGCACACGGGAATAGGTGAGCCGCGAGCCTCAGCGACCACTCCGAGAATGCAATTTAACACTTTGATGTCTGCTAGCTGATGCGAGCCACCGTGCGCCCCGATCTGGGATTTCCAGTGACACTCCGTGTGGGTGGCTCAGGAGTGCATCGGCATCGCAAGTCGTGGCCGGGAAAAGTTTCTGCATGACAACTTTTGCAGAAGCGCAGCCAAGGAAGAGCGGCAAAAGTATTCAAACTAGGTGAAGAACTTAAATACTTTTGCGAAGAGGATTTCTTTGAGGGTAGAAAATTCCTTTATAATGACCACAATATCATCAAGTGATTCAAGTGAGGAAAATGAACCGTATATTCTCATTCCAAATACCCATAGATTATTCTGTTAAAAAAAGCTCTTCACCAATAAAGCGAATGAAATGTAAATAGGCTCAAAAATGGTGGTCAAATTGAATTGGTTGCAAAAGCTGAATTGATTGTTTGAATTCAATACTCGGATTATCTCTTGACATTTTACTGTGCAGATTCTGCAGCGTAATTTACTAATATTTTGTAGAATTTGCAAAATTCATTGAATTGTTAATTCAAATTGAAAGTCCATTCGAAAGCTCAACGGTCAGCGTTTGGCAACGCAAGACACTTGAATTGACTCTGGATTTTGATGTAATTGTCTTCGCAAGTGGGGCTCTTTAGGTGCGTTTTAAGAGTTTGTCTTCAGTCTAATCTGTCGGTAATCTCGTGGAATGGAACACGAGAAATAAATTACAGTCACCTTTCCGTCTTTGGCGTTTCGGAATCAATGGGAGGTGCGAAGAATGAGGTGAAGCGACATGAGAGAACAAGAACGAATTAATCAGAAATCGATCAACTTTTTTTCCCCTCTGCAACCACAAAAAGTCTCTAAACTCTCCGTGTATGTCCTCAAGAGCATTTCTGTTTCGGGTTGTCGGTCAAAAAAGTCACAGAATCCGATGCCACCAGCTTAAAATGGCGTCCCGCGCTCTGAGTTTTGTCTATGACGGCTCAATTTTTTTGGTCCACGTCACATTATTACAATAATTTGGGCTGCGCGCGGCCGATTGTTTATTCCGTGGCCAGGAGTGAGACAGAAGAGGGACTGAGATGGTTGGAGATTTGGATAAATTTCTGTTGAGTCATAAGTTTCGGGCGTGCGTTTTTTTCTCGTGAGCCCCGCGCGTTTTCCTTCATTTGTCATTACTCGTGGCTCTTTGACAGCGTGAAGTAACCTTTTGTTTATTTTCAAGGCTAAATATTAGATTTATCAGGCGCTCTCGCTCTCGCTCAGCTTGACTCCCAAGCATGTCACCGAAATTCAATTTTGTTTTCAACTTCTTGCCCACTTTTCCCGGGAATTTGGCACATTGTGTGTCATTTAATAGTCTGGAGTTGCCAACAGGTTTCAATTCTGCATCAGCAACTCCGCGATATGGACTTCTGAATGTGATTACGATACATATAAACATTCTTTTAGAATACCTAGAACACATAATAAATCATTTGGCGCGAACTCCCGAACGCAATTGTCAAGTTTGCACACAAATTTTACTAAATGTCTCAAGTTTTAATTTATTGTCCGCCTTTTATCATCTTTGCCAGACGATCAGCAATGCAAATGATTAAGTCTTTAGCACTATTTTCGATGTTTTGCGCGGGAGTGTCTGCAGACTATCTTCTGTGTCTTCTTTTTCGTTATTCACTCACTGTATAATCGATTTAACACTGTGAATTAGTCGTCAAAGTAATTGTAGAGAATATTTTGCATCATTTTGCAAACTCTATTCTCACCACAAAAAGCATGTTTGTTTAGAGAATCTCTCAGTGATTGTGATAAGTAGGCAAGCAAAAAAAACGTTCTACACGAGATGATGTTGTTTTTTTTGGCCGCACAGAAAATGAGCTCAAATCACCAGAAAAGGTTAATGACGTCTTTCTGGGCATCTCGCATGAAAAATAATTAAAGAAAAACTCTTATCAATTTCGCAAAGAAATTATATAATTTTGTGGGTAATTATGTCAATTTAGCCATTTTTTCGCTGCTTTTTTTCTTGGGCTTCCTTTTTGTGGGTCATCAACAAAAGCGCAGAACACTCGACAATTAAGACACATGAAAATGATTCCAGTTGTGTATGAAAATTGTGAGAAATCGCTTCTCTTCATCTGGCAAATGCACTGATTGCCTGGCCAATAAAAAGATGCACTCGTGGACACTCTTTCCTTCACCCCAGCGCAGTTTTTGGGCAAAAGTGAAGGGGAGCCCAAATTGCGGGAATTCGCGGGTAAAAGTATCACAGAGATGCCTGGCCAATGTGAAATCTTGTGTGAGAATCTGTCGATGAGTGAAAGACACAATTATTGGAAGATTGCTGGCCGCGGGCGTTTCTGGGCTCTCTGCTCGGGCCGCGTCAATATTGAGACATTTGCCTCGTGTGCCCACAAATTAATTGGCGCACT